CCCCCCCCCCCGTGTAAATGCCATGCCCGCAGGCGGACTGACCTCTCCCCTCAGGAGCTTCCTTTAATGGAACCTAGAAGGCAACAGTCAGTAAAATCTACCTTCTGCCAAATGATCTCAGTGAGGTTTTAGGTTGGTTGAGAAACACGGCTTCGTGTCCTCAGGCAAAAATCACCCACCCACCTATCCACCTGCCCCAGATTTCATTCCCCGACTTCTTGCTCCTTCTGGAAGGAAAGTTCCCCCCCCCCCCTTTTCACGAGATCCACTCGAGTGTTGGGGTGAAGGTGCTGAAGGAGGAGCAAAGAGACCCCAACCTTGTCCACCTTCCAACATGGAGCTCCCTACGTAATTATGGGCCTGACACACTCTCTCTGTCTCTCTCTGTCTCTCTGTGTGTCTGTGTCTTTCTCTCTCTCTCTCTCAACCTGAATTGCAAGCTGGTTCTTGTACAGAAAAAGGTAAGATGGACCAGGGAACTAGGGCCAGGGAACTGGCTCAAAAAAACCTCTCAAATTTGTAAATCCCAAGAAACGTTGCAAAACTTATTTAAAGTAATCCAAAACTGTATCAACGACTGTCTCTTAAAACCTTAGGGGGGGAAAAAATAAACTGAACTAAGCTAAATTTCTTCTAGAATACTTGTTCGTAACCCTACACCACGTAGGAATTAGGAAAAGGGAGCGGAAGAGTTCAAGATTAAAAAAGAAGTCATCTAAATTCACGGAAGGCCCAGGAAACGAATACTAAAGGTATATAATTCCACTTACCAAATACTATAGGAGTAGGTTCTGGTACTTGCTCCTCGTCTTTCCTTAGGCTTTCCGAAGCGTCGAGTTTATCCACCTAAGTTATAAGAGGAAAAACAGGATACGTTTAGAGAAGGCCCTGAGGCTAGCCTGAGTTTGGTGGCCATCCTTAACCTTACCTTTCCCCAGGTAAGCTCCAAAACTCTTAAAAGGCAGATTCCATTTCAAGTTGTCACCTGCCAGCTGCTTCTGTTTTAGAGGTCTCTGGTAGACACATTGCCTGTTTGGAAGCTAACTGCTAAGGGGTGGAATTTGCTTAGGATCTCTTGACTAAGGTGCAAACAAGGCTGGGATAGTCAAGGGGACAGGATTAACCAGAGAGAGCTGCGGCTTTGATCCGCTTTCAGTGTTCTCAGTGGATCCCAAGAGATGAACCACACAGGGAAAAGTTGCGGGTGAGGGAGCACCTTTATAAGGTGGGAGAGCAGGTGTGATGGGTGGTCCTTGCCAAATGGCAGCTGGGCAAATTAAACCTGCTTTAGAACCCCTCTACATCATGCATGGGATTGATCTCAAACCACTCATCTATCAATAGGTAAACTGGCAAGCTTTCCTCTTGAGCCCTTTTCTGATGGGAAGAGCCAAGAATCCCTAGGAGGCGGGAGAAGAGCAGGGGCGGAGTGAAGGGAGCCCTCAGCCTAGAATCGTTAACGTTCTCACAAACGGTCTAAGCCCAACCTCTCTTGAATTCCGCTGACCCCTTGTCGCCCACCAATTTAGGCGGGACATTCTCACGGTGCGGCCAAAAGCGTTCAGGCTTTGTTAATAGGAGGAATGTCTTTTGGGAAACTAGCGGTTAGGTAGACGCTCGAGGGATGGAAGTTAAAGCAATTTATGGTAAAAAGGAGGGGAAGTTTATTACTGTGTACTAAAATTAGTTCTTATTTTAAAACCGGACTTACGGTGCATGCGGTTTCTCGAAGACCGAAGGCTTAGTTAGACGCTTACCACTTGCAAAATCCAACCAGACTTCAACCTGGAAAGGGCCACAATGGGCACTCCTCTTTGGAGTGCAGTCTATCTTATTATTTATTTAGTGAACAGATTGGATGGGGGTGAGGCTATACAGATAGTGTTCGACTGTTGTTTCATTTAGGGACCGTTTGAAGTTATCATAACGCTGAAAAAAATTGATATGACCATTTTTCACACGAACGTTGCAGCATTTCCCCCATGGCCACATGATTGACATTGGGCTGTTTGATTACTGATTCATATTTATTGTCAACTCAAAAATATTTCTTTTAGAGCTGCCAGCAGAAAGAGAGTGGAGGGAGTAGTGCATTCCTTAGATAATTTCTAGGCGACTGAAGCTTCTGGCACGCAAGAGTATTATTGGAGAGCATGATTGATGACTCCTGCCTATGGATGTGTCTCATTGGAGAATATACATCCATGGGGTGGGGGGAAGACCAGGGTCAAGGGTGAAATGAATGATGTGTTTCAGAATCGGCTACACCCAGGTAGCAAGGCATGTTCACTCCGAATAATTTTGTTTTAAACTCTGAGAGAAGTGGCTAGAGACTCATGAATTAAATGGGGGTGGACGCTGGAGCCCTGACATTTATGATGGTCCCAGTGTCCCTGGGGTCACGCGATCCCCTTTTGCGACCTTCTGACAACCAAAAGTCAATGGGGAAGCCAGATTCACTTAACGGCTGTGTCGCTCCCTTAACGACAGAGACTGACTTAGAACTGTGGCAACGAAGGTCATAAAATGGGTCAAAACTCACTTAACGGCGGTCCCTCAAAGCAACAAAAATTGTGATTGTTAAGTCAAGGACTACATGTATTCTCTTTTGATACTTTCCACAGAATAAGTAGCTAGGTAAAATTTTTTCTTCTTCTTCTAACAGCCAGAAGTACTTTAGGTAAATCTTTAATTCCAGGATAGGAAAGCTGACCCCTGGATTAAGAATCCTTCAAGAATGATCCAGTATGTCAGATACAATATTGAACATATACTATACTCTTGAATGCTTTTGGTAGTCTTCAGTGAAAATCAGATGTTCTTACAAATAAGTAAATATTTTGGGTTTTCCTTCCCAATGAAGCAGATGGAAGTCTGGCTGGATTTTTCCAAGCTCTTTATGAAGTGATATTTACTATGATATTAGTTTAAATGAAGCTAAATTATTCTGCTTTTCGGGTGCAAGCTACAGTGAGACGGCTGGATCTTCAGATCTACTTTTAAGGACACCAGTTAAAAACAACAACACAAGTGAGTAAAACTAAAGAGACCGTCACCTTATTAAACAGACCATCAACCTGTAAAGAAAATTAAAGAGGGGAATATTTAAAATCCAAAAAAAAAAAAGAGGCCACAAAATCGAGTTCAAGAGAAACGCAAAAGAAAAGGTAACATTGTAGGGAGAAATGGAAGAAGGCCATGGAGTTAGGAAGGAGAAGCAAGAAAGGAGGACACAATATGTGAGGTTCTACACAAGCTGCCTTTTACTCAATGTTTAATGTTGATTTACAAACAAGATAATAATAATAAATATTAATAATCATCATCATCATCATCTGTAACACCATCAAACATCCAGATTTGCCTGTCCCAGGTCCTTGGTGAGGACTCGATAGGTAGACAAAAATGCCAAACCCAGTCTGAACATCTGGCTGACTGTGTGATGAATAATGAGGAGGAGGAGGAGGAGAAGGAGAAGAAGAAGAGGAGGAGGAGGAAGAGGAAGAAGAGGAGGAGGAAGAGGAGGAGTCCTGGGATGAAGTGATCCCAATGAGGAAGCCAGATTCACTTAAGTGTGACTAACTTAATAACTCTGGTGATTCACTTAACAACGGTGGCAAGAAAGATCATAAAAATGGAGCAAAGATCTCTTAATAACCATCTCGTTTAGCAACAGAAACTTTGGCCTACCTGTATTCCTAGGCCATAGAGAGCTTCTCAATTTATTTATTTATTTAAAAAAAAAATCCCAATAGCTCCTGGCTCCAGGCACCTAATGCAGCCAGCCTACCTGCTGTTGAAATTGTGCCTGCCAGGCTGAGACTAAAGTTTAATTACAGGCATTAGCAACCCAGGTCTCCAAAGAATGATCAGCAATCAACAGCTTTAATTAAGCAAATGAGGCATCGGTGTTGATGGTCCCCTAGCACTCAAGATGTCTAAGTCATCCAGTAAGCTTTTGACAAGTTTTTTATCTATCTATCTATCTATCTATCTATCTATCTATCTATCTATCTATCTATCTATCATCTATCTTTACCTATTTCTATATTTATCTATATCAATCTATATCTATCTCTACATTTACATCTGACTATCTATGTCTGTCTATTTATTTTTATCTATTTCTATCCATCCATCCATCTACGTACATCCATCCATCCACCCACCCACCCATCCATCTATCTCTCTACCTATTTCTATTTATCTATCTATCTCTACTACATCTGTGTCTGTCTATCTATTTCTTTTTCTTTCTTTTTCTTTCTTTCTTTCTTTCTTTCTTTCTTTCTTTCTTTCTTTC